TACGAATAGCATTTGCAGATTTAGAATCAAAGAGGTCCACGCAAAATCGGTCCCCATCTCCGGGTCCGTTTGCGGGACTTGAGGAATACGTAAGGTAATGAAAGTGTATTTTTTATCGGTGATAACTGCCTTTTCCTTTCATTTTTGAGATGTAATTATCAACAAATTATGCTTGCATATTGCTCTTTCATTTTTAAAATGCATCCAGAGCGAGACTCTATGTTTCCACCTAGTTGCCGCCACGGACTTCTTAAGAGCGATTGGCGCATAATATGGTCTGAAATGATCCTCTTCATCATTAGCGGTACGTAATGCTTTCATAAAAAATACGTGAATCGCTACTAGAATTCTCATATTCAGCCGTAGAAATGCACATACGGGATTGACCCGTAAAAGTGAGCGACAAATAGCCGAGCTAAGAGCAATACAAGACAAGGGATTGGTAAGAAGCAAGGGTTAGAATAAAGCCTTATATTCTAAGCTGTTTTGTACTTGCAGCAATTTGCAGTTCCAGTAGCCTATATGCGCAAACCAAAGAAGCAGCCTGCCGAAGTTCCCGAGTGTGATGTTCAAGGCGTCAAAACAGCTGCACAACTACTAGAGGAGCAAGCCGTACTGATATTCATCATAGCTCAACACTATCAATTATTGCTCAACGCAAATCATAACTCACCAAAAGGAAACGCATCTCGTAAAATTTCAGTATAGCTTTTTCAATTATTTTTATGATTGTCGATATTCATTACCACTTCATAAAAACTGTGAATAAAGGATAACTTCTTCTGCTTTTTTGAAATTTTTTCTTCTAGCTCGTGCATTGCCTTATATTTCGCCACAGCTGCAAATCTTGAGGTAATTCTTGTTCGATTTACTCACTGGAAAGAATAGAAAAATAAGGCTAGAGCTCTCATTCTGCTAAATATCATCTCCCACAGCTCAACGTGGATAACATTCTGCTAGTCCGATTTTGGCAAATAGATGCTCGTATTTGTATAAAAGCAGTAAGACACCGTATTTTCCGCCAGTATTATTTGATAAGGTCAAACTAAGAAAAATGCTTGGTTCGTTTGATGGTACTTGTCGTGTAAATATACGTTAATCCGGTCGAATTTGTGGCTTTTTTGGTAGAGAACAAGTTGGGACATACGTGACTAATACGAAAAGAGCAAAGGTTTGTACGAGTTGTCACTCCCTTATCAGAAAATGACAACATGAAGATATGGGCTTTCTATGCCCTGAATTTGAATGACTCTGACTATCTGCAAGTTGAAGAACAAACTTGGCTCATAGGAAAAGGAACAGCACAGCAATTACGCCGTTCAGGGTATTAGGGAGTATTGAAGTCCTTAAAAGAAAACGCTTCGCTGGAGGTTGACCTACACTCTTTTTCAAATAATTAGCTTAATTTATATAATCTGCCTAAATAGCTCTAATGCTACGACCTTCAACGGTAAAACTAGCAATGTCATAAAGCAAGTGCATCCGCCGGCTTAGCTAAGTTGAATGTGCGATAGCAATGCACAGGTTGGGCTTTTTCGAAATTTATGGAATGTCTAAGAATTTGTTTTGAAGTGCTAATCTGAGGCGCTACACTGTGCCTTACGGAAAGGAGCAAAGTTTTCAGCTAAAAAAAGAATCAAGAATACTTGTGAAGGAATAAATGCAACCAGTTAATAATTATCTAGTCGTTCGCAGTTATCAAAGTTGAGGTGCCTCGTCGCTAAGTTCGGGACTATCTACGAGTAAAATAAGAAGAGATGGAGATTGAAAGTTAAAGAGTTGTAGGAAGCGAGTGAGAGGGGAAGATGATTGAACCATTTTTGAAAAGGCCTTGCGATAAGCAAACAAACCACTACAAGAAGATCATGATCAAAGCTTGCATACTGCAGTGGCTCATACCTTCTGTTTCCTATACAATTCAATTTCGTAGGAATTACTAAGCCAACAATAGAAAACGAATATCGCTAACAAACAGGGATAAACTCCAAAGAGTACATGGATTAACATCGATGATGCCATTTCTTACACTTTGCTCCAAACAGTAGTTGTCTAGGACACGATTTTTTTTTCATTCTTCCGGCGCATTCGCGCTCCTTATCAGCTCTGAAAGAGAGCTGATAAGTCGCCATCGACTTACCAGCCATATAAGTACTGTAAAGTAATGCTGTTTTCATAGTGCGACACCTCTTTAGAGTTTAATATACTCATTTTCTTTAGAACTTTTCTCACTGAAGCGGTGCAGTTCAAGGTAAAAGCTAGCCAAAACAAACAGCCAAGTTTTCTCATTTCTTGAATGCTGGGACAGCCCAAGGACCCTGCAGACATCCACTCTACATCCTTTCTAAAATGAACAACTAGGTTTATTTATTGCACTGATTATTAAGCGGTTTTTGCTCAAGATTCGCATTGCCGACATCGCGCCTCTTTGCTGCCACTCAATGCAGGGGATTTTTAAAGATGACGACTTAATTTATTTGGCTACTTGACCATTCAAAAAAAAATTCAAACTTTTGTTTACTTGAGCAACTGCCCTGTGAGCAGCCAAAAACTCCAATTTCTCTCACTTTTAGGATGCAATCTTTAATTGTTGTGTGTTCGCTAGTGCTTAGCTGTTTTGCCAC